TAAATAGTTTATTTGATATTAACATTGATATATATTTTTTAAAATTTTTATGAAATCTTCAAATTTATATTTTATTCAAAAATAAAATTATTATTGTTTTCTTAAAACCCATTTTTTATTATTCTTAAAACCCACTTTTTATATATAAAGTACTGTTTATTAATGCATATTACTTAAAACTCAATATTACAAGTACATTGTGCGTAAGTACAACTTACTAAAGCTCCATATCTAAATTCGTGTAACTAACTGCAGATAAACATAATCAAATACAAGATAAACATCTCATTTTAAATATAAAAAATCTAAAATATAATTAGAATAATGATTGAGTTTTAACATAATACTTAATTATTATTTTAATAAAATGTTAGATTATTAAACCAAAAATAAATTATTTCATTATTAAACTTAAATTAAATTATAATAAAAAAATAAATTAAAAAATTACATAAAAAAAGAAACTTTTAAATAGTTGATTTGATATTATTTCATTATTTTCGTGGTATTCGTCCTTGTCTCCACGCCTTCTCTCAAGTTGACCCAAAACCAAATCCAAATCGAACCCCTCTCTCCATTCTTATGTGTTTTCATCCTTGTGCGAACTAGTCTTTGTGCCTTTTTCGTCCCATGAATCTTCACAGTATTTTCGTGGTTTTCGTCCTTGTAGGTTCCCTATTTTGATTTCGTTCTTGTAGGTTCCCTGTGTTTGATTTCGTTCTTGTTTTGATAGATTTGGTTTGCTGTAAACCAAACGCTTACTCGGGTAAGTAAACACCAACTCATTTTACCTTACTGGATTAATATGGTAAAGATCAAGAATATTACCCGGTAAAAGCGAGACAAGAACCAAGAGTCTTACCCGGTAAGTGAAGGTGACGACTCTTACCACGGTAAGCACTTACCAGGTTAATTGATGCATATGATACCGTTTGATAGACTAAAATCTTATCCGCTAAGTAAATGATAGTGTTAAATTTACCGGTAAGCGCTTATCGGGTAAGTATTTGGTAAACAACCCCTAAATATCTCCTTGTGTACTAAAATGTATAACGTGGGAAATTTTTTGAGGATATAAAATCTTTCATTTTATTTCAAAAA